TACTTGCATTATTGACATTATTCACACTGTTATCCTCATGTTCATTGACATATTCACAACATTTCAGCTGTTGTACACTCTGGCCTTCTTCAGGTGATTGGAATTTCAAACCAAACCCTTTATTTCATTTACTGGGGGAAATTGTTTTAGTTCCACATGCCATGCCTCTTCTGGATGTCTCAGTTATTTCTTTTTAACTCAACTCTCCAAGTTTTGGTTCACCACTGCTGTGGCCTGGTATTGAACTCACAACTCTTTGGGTCTAGTCTCCACTAGGCCATGTGTTAAGACACATGGCCTAGTGGAGAAATGAAATTTCTAGTATTTTTGTATTTTTATGTTGCTTGTTTTTCATTGGTTAACACAAAAATAAAAAATACCAGAATTTTTTTTCTCCTTCATTTTTAATTTCTGATGAAGCCTAAATAAGAGTGAAACATGATAAATTTATAAACCTTTCTTATTTGTTCCTTATCATATCATTCTGTTGGATCCCAATTCATATATATGACAATAAAACTTAGTAAGGATTTCAAATTCTGGGATAATAAGGTTTAGCTTGTTTAGCATGTTTTTATTCCTTAAATATTGTGTTTTCTTTAATCCTAATTTAAAGAGTGTGAGAAAAAGGGATCTATGAGAATCTCCATTCTAAATTCAAATCTGTTACAGTTTCAAAACATACAAAATCATCTTTGTGTTTCGAGTAAAACCTGAATTTTAATAGTGGGAATAAAAGTAGACCGAAGAAGTAAAAGAAAAGAAAAAGAATCTGCTGGCAATATCCATGGATTTTTCTTCAATATTTTTTTCCAATTCTCTTCTTTCATGATATCTGATAAGTTATTGTTTGATCATTCTTCTTTTATTCTTTCCATCTATTCTTACTTCCTTGTTTTCTATTATTCTTTCCTTACTTTTATTCTTTTTTTATTATTTCCTTTTTTTTTCTTTTATTCCTTTCTTTTTCCTTTCTTTCATTCTTTTATTTCTTTTTATTATTTCCTTCTGTTTTTTGCTTTTATTTTAGTCTTTTTTGTTTTATTCCTTTCTTCTTTCTTTGCATTCTTTTCTTCCTTTTTTCTTTTATTATTTCTTTTTTCCTTTCTTCTTTCTTTCCATCTATCCTCTCTTTTATTCTCTCTTTCTTTCTTTACTTTCTTTTATACTTTCCTTCTTTCCTCTATACTTTTTTTATTCCTTTCTTCCTTTCCTTTTCTTCTTTGTTTGTTTTTTATTCTTTTGTCTATGCTTTCTTTATTTCCTTCTTTACTTTCTTCTTTTCTTTCCTCCTTTCTTTGCTGTCTTTTATTCCTTCTTTCTTTCTCTTTTGTTCTAACAGCTCTGTTCTTCGTCCTTTCCTTTGTTCATTCCCTTTTCTTCTTTTTTATTTTATTTCTTCTTTCTTATTTGTTTTTCTCTTTCTTTCTTTCTTTCTTTCTATCTTTCCTTTCACCTTTTCTTCTGTACACTTCCTTCTAATTTTCTTCTTTTTTCTCTTCATCCATTCCTTTCTTTCTTTCTCTCGTTTATTCTCTTGTCCTCAACTTCTTTCCTTTATTCTTCAGCCTTCCTCTTTCATTAGTCACTTTTATTTTTCCCACACACCTGTCTCGACCTATTCTTCTTCCCTTCCTGCACTCCATTTCATGTATGAATTCATTGTTTCAGACAACAGACACACCATTCTCATTATCACAACAAAATGACCAGCTTGTTTATTGTGGCAAATTATATTTTTATTTGCTTCATAAAACAAAACTTGATATGACTAAACTCTTTGCAACTGGTAATGTGGAAACTTAACTCTCTGGGAAATGTTATGACAGCCACAGAAAATGTGACTCAGATGTCTGAAGCCACATTCAAATTTTGAAAGATGCCTTCCAAAAAAATAAGAAACAGGAAGATTTTGTGATGATGATCATCATCACACACACACATACATACATACCTACACAAATTCAAATTTTAATAACAATCATTTATTGGATAGAAATCAATGCTGCTATCTTATGCGACAATTTTGAAATCGCTATATTTTCATATAGTAGATTTTATGCACTTTTGGGAGGATTGTCTCCCAGAAGTCTCCCCAAAACTCATGCACTGATTGGTCAGTATTGACCAATCAGATTCTCTGCATGTAGAGAATAATTTTTCCTGCCAAAGAGCTCTGATCCTGTCACGTGATTATGTATCTATAAAAACAAACACGAGTTTGTCTCTTCCTCAATTTTTCTTCAGGCCTCGTGCCGAATTCCACTTCGCACGGAGGTGAGGTAAACCTCTCTTTCTTCTCTATTCTTGATGCAACATGTAGTCCTAGAGAATTGTCGTCTTGACCTTGCAGTCAGACGTTAAAGAATATTTCTAATATACATGCACGTACGAACATTCACCACGAATGTTCACACACACACACAAATGTTCACACACAATCACAATGTTAATTGTCTATGTGCTTTGTAAATGTTTTGTTTAATACATATATTTGTTTATATATATATATATATATATATATCGGTTTTGTTTGTTTGTCTTCCTTATCTTCAGTTGGACTTAATCTAAGTCCAACATTCTATTGTAGCTGGACCTTCTAGCAGGAAATATAAACGGACGTGTTTTCTTTACATCTTCACCCCCCTGGTCTTGAACATAATGGTGACCGTCGGCGTGATTTTGAAAAGATAATAGTCGACATAATGGTCCATTACAATTTCATTAGAAAATTAAAAGAGTTCTGACTTGAACAGTAATATTAATTTTCTTATATGGCAGTGAATGCTGGATAATTTCCTTCCAGATAAAGAAGACACTTGAGATAACTGATATCGTTCTACAGAAAGATGCTGAAAATACCCGGGACAGAACATGTTAGAAATGAAGACAGTGATTTTCAATTGGTATGCCGCAGTGCACTGGTGTGCTGTCAGGAGATTGTAGGTGTGCTACAAAAATTTTTAAAGGTCATTGTGCAAATTATTTTCAAAAGAAGTCCAAAGTACAATAAGTATCTGACACAGAACGCAACAACATATATATATATATATATATATATATTAGCGGTAAAATAAAATTTCACTCTCTTGACCTGATGTTAACTTCCAAGATAATCATCTTCCTCCCCCACTGCAACCCCGAACTAAGACACAAAAAGCTGCCACCTGCTACAATTTCCAAGTATAGATCTGTTAGGCACAAAGTGAGGACTTGGTTAGTAAATAGTCTACAAAACAAGCTGACGAACTATTGACCTAGGTCAGTGATTTTCAACTAGTGAGCTGCAAAAGTTTCTTTTCTTTTCTTTCTTTTTATGTGCCATGTCCTGTCAGGACGTAGGCGATCATGGCTCTCCACCTCCCTCTATCCCTTGCAGATCTCAAAAAGTTCCTTCCCTCTGCTTCCTCCCCCAGACCATGTTCTGTCATCCACTTGCTTAAGCCTGCTAGGTATGTCATGCATTGTTTTCCCTTGCCTCTCTTTCCCTATATTCAACCTATAAGTATCAGATTCTCCAGGCCCTCCTTCCTCATTATGTGTCCCAGAAACTTCAGCTGCCTCTTCCTGATGTTAAGTATAATCCTCCCCCTTGTTTGTAACCTTTCTAAGACCTAATTGTTGCTCACACACTTGGTCCATGGTATCCTTAGCATCCTTCTGTAGAACCACATTTCTGTCGCCTCGAGTCTTCTTCATCTTTGAGGAAATTGTCCATCATTTGCTGCTGTAAAGAAGGACAGATGTCACGTAACAGCTCAGTATTCTTTAAAAGTTTCTAAAGATCTAAAAAATATGGTAAATGTACATATCAAAATTAACCCCCCCTTTAAATTGAGTATATGAATACAAAAGAAGCTTTTCTGCAATAAAAAATACTAAAAATAAAAATCCAAAAATGACTAGAATCTTTGGAAGGCGATTAAGAGTATACTTGTCTAAAATTCAACCTTGTATGGAAAAAATTAAAAAGTAAAAAATTATGAAAGAAAATCTAAAAGAATGACTTAAAAAGTATAAAAATGTATTAAAAAGTATGAAAAATATTAAAAATTGTGACTTAAAAAGATCTCACAAGAATGAAATGACTGATTGCAGACAACATGTAAAGTAGTTTTAAATTGAAACAGCAGTTAAGTAAATCAATATCTCATACACAAAACATACAGCAAGTTTTCCTTCACTATCTGGAAGCATTGCATTCCTATTAAATCATTTGTTATTTGAAATACAATAAAGTGGAATAACAATTACATTTATGTGGGAGAAATTTTTGAGTATTCCCCAAACCCAAAATAAACTTGTGTGATGTTTTTACTATGATAACTTCACAATGATTATAGAAATGTATGACTTAAAATTTTGAAATAGCATGTTGGTTTAAGGACAGGTTAGCAGGCTCACAAAGAATTAGATGTTTTCAAAATGCATAAGGCTAAGCAGTAAAACATGCTGTTATATTGCAACAACACTTGACCTGCAATGTCTAGGCAGGCCGATGTTGAAGAAGGTCTATTCTGGTTTGAGAACACGCAAAGATTTTTCAAATAAAAATTATGATAATTGATTTTATGCCATTTCAGATAGCAGGTGAAACTTGTACTAATATAGGTCATTCTGCAAGGAAAGTGGTATAAAAGAAACTTACAAAAAGTGGGACACAGTGGGTTTGCAAACGGTCATTTGGTATTTTTTAAAGCTTTCTCAAAAGTTATGTGTTATATCTAGTCTGAACGTAGATAGTCTCAGGATTTTAGAACTGGTTTAACTTTGTCTGAAATCTAAGCATTTTTCAAATTATAATCATTTAAAGTTTCCTTAAAATTATTCTGGTAGAAGCTTAAAAAACCCACAAATGTCTGCGTGGCTCTACTGTGTGAGCCTACTGTGCAGGAAATACTTACATATTAAAGAATTCTTTTTTTGGAGTCAAAGATATTTGATCTCTTTTGAAGTGCTGTGTGGAAGGAAGAAATGGTTGTGAGAAAGATGAAACTTACTGGAATGTGAGGACTGTTAAAGGTCGGTAAGATTTGGGACTTGTGTTGTCAGCATGGCTTTCCCTAAAAGTCATTGCGGAAGGCGCGGTACTGCTTTTTTGTCCAATAACATCTTCATTCCCCTTGATGGCAAACATATCGTCATGCACAAAGTCACCATCCAGACTGTTGTAATAAACCAGCAAAGTAACAAGAGAAACTCCAATGTTTGCCGGAGAGAAGATTTGAGGTACCCAGATACTTGCATCTAATGAACACCCTACTTGTTCCTGGCCTTTTTTTTTATGAGGCATTTTGGGTCTCCCCCTGTATGGAGAGGACCCTGTATCCTTTTGTGCACAATTAGTCATCTCTTATCAAGCTGCATATGAGATGCTGAGAAAAGTTGAAATTTTGGAAGGACCATCCATTAGTTTCTATTGTCTGATTTCATTCTTGATTTCCCAGCATCCTTTGCAATTCATTATCTGTAAGAAAATAAGAAAATATTATAAATAATCTCTATTATAAAACAATAATTGCTTCTCTGTCCATCACAGTTTGCATGTGATTTTGCAATGTATGTATGTCTGTTTGTATTGTGAGAAAATGTTTTGTTTCAGGTATATTTTTAGAGTTATTCAAAGTTAGGTGGTCAGACACATGACAAAAAATTGTGTCAATTTGATTGAATTTTGTGTTGTAGAATCCAATTGATATAGGTCATTTTTCACAAATATTATCAAGTTAAACATGTCAGTCATCTATAAAATTAGTTTCAACAATATTTCAATGACTTTTCCAACAAAAGAGAATGGGTGACTGATATGTTTTTGTGTCATTTAATGTACACACAACTTGATTGAATTTGAAATCGGAAAATCCTCTCAACTTTGGACAACGACTGCCTTGGGCTGAGCAATAGTTAAAAGATTTTATTGAGGGTTTTAGAAATTATTTAGTAATAAATAGTTATTTTTTAAAGCTTTTTTTTTTACAAATTTTATAGAAATATGTTTAGGTCTATCATTGAATTAAAATAATTTTAGGTCAATCATTGAATTAAAATATATATGTTCACATGCAAATGTACATATGCACACAATTTAAATGTAACTGGAATGGATATCTGTGTTGTGAGAGTTTTTCGCTTTCTGTTTGGTAGCAAACCCCTGGATAATGGAAAAAAAAGTATAAGCAGCAATGTGCAGCCCTTTGAAGTCATTTTTATGATTCTTTTCATATTTAAACAGAATATATTTTCTAATAAATGTACTATGGTCAAACAATATAGATTTCAAATTTAGTCGTCTTGTCATTGGTGAAGCAACAGGTTAACAAACTAGTTCTAATAAATTTAGTCATCTTGTCATTGGTAAAGCCACAGGTAACAAATAAGATTTAGTATTGAAGCAGTCAACGATGCTAATGGCAGATTCATTAAGGAAGTGCATCATGATGTGTCTCAAGGTTATTTATGCCAATTTTTTCAACAAAGTTCTTCATGAGTTGTCTTTACTAAATTCTAGAAATGTCTCTAAAGAACTGAACAAATATATATATACATTTTTATTATAAGAAATTATATATATATATATATATACATTTTATTATAAGGAATTAGTATATAT